GGGGGGGGGGAGAACAGTGAGCTAAGAGATGCCCCGGCCCCCAGTCTCCTGGGAGTAGGGGTAGAGACAAGCTGGTGCCCAGGACGATGGAGACTTCTGATGGCTGCTGGGGCAGGCTTGGAGATGAAACTGGTCCATGCAAGGGCTTTCCAAACCAGAATTTGCCCCCCCCAAGTTTCCTCCAGTTAGAGGAAGGGCCTTTCCGATTCATAGATGAATTTTCATTGTACAAATAAATGCACTTTGCACCGCTTTGTGTAGGGGAAGTGGTTGCAGACATCCACTGGTGTAGCATCTCACATCTGAGTTACTAGGATTCATGGGGCTGCAGCTGTGGTATTGCCCAGAGGGGAGGGGTGTACGGGAGGGGTGGGACTTCTGTGCCAAGCCAGACATCACCTGACTGGCCTGTGGGGTACTGACTTGGTGGCTGTGCCCTCAGGATGTCTCCAGGGATGAGGCCACAGCGACCTGAGCTGACACCAGTGGCCCAGCCACTGCAGCTTGGCCCTGGGTGTTGAGGGCAATTGCTTTGCAGTAGCCGAGGGGGAGAGAAGACGAGGGGCTGCAGTGAGAGCAGGGGGAACTAGGAGGCGGGGCTGCTGCTTGAATGGGAGGTCAGGGTGAGAAGCATCTTTGCTCCTGGGTCTGTTCAGCTCCCCTAAGCCCAGGGTAGACCGGTGTGAACACAGGCCCACTGTCGCTGTGAAAGACATTTGCCAGAGGCCAGAAGCTTCCCCTCCCCTCTCCCCTCACCCCCCAGCCCCTGTCAGGTCGGCACCAGTGTTGCTGAGAGCGTAGAAGCTGAGGGTGCAGTTGCTCTGGTCTCTGGGGAAGTGGAGGAGCTCAAAGTCGCAGTTGGTCTCCGTGGTGAGGGCCAGGTAGAGCTCGACATGGCCATCTTGGTCCACTTGGGCCCGCGGGCTCTGGTCCTGCCAGTCCACCCAGAGCCTGCTGGGAAAGGCAGCAGAGCCAGAGGCCCAGCCCCTTCTCTGAGTGGGGAGGAGGGGGAGAGGGGCTGCCCAGCTGCCATCCCCTGCCCTCAGGACTCCAAAAGGAAGGGGTAACACGGGGCAGTGGAGGCATGCCAGTGCTCTGCCAGGGCCACCAGGAGAGGGACGTTCACTAAGAGGGCTCCAGGCTCTAGGTGGGGAACACAGGGACATGCATGGTGGCTCTGGACAAGAACTCCCGCCACACTTACGCCTCCTGGATAGTGAGTTCTGGTGTCCACAGCGAGTCCCAGGGCAGCGTAAGCACGCGCCGTGGGTGCGCACTCGTGTTCCAGGCCAGGCGAGTGTCCAGCCAGGACTGGAGACACAAGGACCCGCTGAGGCTCTGGCCCTCTACATATGTGCCTCTCGGCTTCCAGGTTGAAGACCGTACATCTGAGCTGGACTCAGTGGGTTCTCTTGCCCCACCTCCACCCTTTTACACTCACCCCACCCCCACCCCAGTGGGCTCTCACCAGCCGAAGCAGCAGCATGGAGGACACTGTGTACTGAAGGATGTCCTGGGGGAGGGGCAGCACGTCACCTGGGGGTTGACGGCTACATGACCAAGGAAGGCAGGAGACCCCCGCACTCCAGGGACTGAGTCCCGGCCCATTCCCAGCTTCACACTCTGGCCCACCCTCCTCAGCCTGACGCTTACCACATCAAACACGTTTGTCACAAACACCTGCACGTCCACGATCAGGGGCGTACTCCCATTCTTCGGAATCTGGATGGTTTCCTGAACCTCCAGGGGTGAGTTGAGGTCGAAGAAGGATGGCCAGGCTGAGAGATGGAGGTCAAGGTCACCTGGGTGCCTTGGTGCCCAAATCCCAAAGCTCATGGCCGCCTACCTACCAACCACTGGTGTGCGGAAGCTGCGGCCCTGGGCCAAGAGCCTAGTGGTGCCAAGTCGGAGCAAGGCGAGATGGAGCAGGAGCCGCAGGGCCATCATCAGCGCTGTGCCGAGGGCTGGGTGGAGCAGCAGCGCCTAAGCTGCAACCTCTATTTCAGTCACTTCTCTGGGGGACTGAGCAGTTGGTCGAGGCAGCTGCTCTGTGCAACGACCCGCGGGCCTTGGACTTGGCACCCCCACCCTGGGTTCTGCAAACACCTGAAGACAAAGCCCAGGACCAAGCCCTGCCCACCCTGCACCTGCCTAGGCTTTCCGGTCCCGCTCCACTTCCACCACTTGGAACAGGTTGCCGTGTCCAATGCCAGCCAAGTGGGCCAGGCAAGCACAGAACCACCCCCATCCCCACCCACGCCTTTCCTGGCTTGGTCCTTCCAATCTGGGCAGGTGCCGATGGCCTCCCTTGTGTTACCATAGTGGGCACCCACCTGGCTGAAAACAAGTCCTTGTCAAAGTGCCCTGCACACAACGATGTGAGATGGGCACACCTCGGAGTTCTCCAGCCTCTCCTTAAACACCCATCGAGCCCACTTCACGTAAAAGCTTCGGCTCAAGGACTCCAGGAGTGGGGCGAAGTCGGGGACAGGTGGGGGCTAGCTGAGCAAAGCCCCAGGGCGTTCCTGTTCCCCCACCGGATTCTCAGGCTGCCCCAGTCCAGCAGCGTTAGAAGGGCTGCTGTGCGCCCTGGAACAGGACCGGCAGGGCTGGGGCGGGACTTTCTGGTCCAAAAGAGAAATCGAGCTGTTGGAGCCCTGACCCCAGATAGCAGCAGCTAGGGAAGGAAACCCCAAGGCTTAAAGTCTGCAGGCACTGATGGGGCTGCTGAGACTCCAAGGGTCCCCAGGGAGCTGGGAGCAGGGCAGGGCCCACCACACACACACTGGCGCACAAAAGCTCCTAGGAACAGACACAGCGTCTGCGTCTGCCATCGACCGACTTCATCGAGTGCGCGCCGACACCCCGCCTGCCTGCGTCACGCGCACCGGCGGCGGCTGGTTTGCGGATCTGTGCGCATCCGGCGCTTCCAGATGGCCGCGTGCAAAGAGCCTTCGCCTGTCGCGCTCCCCAGCCTTGCTCATTTAGGAATTTCTGCGCAGATTTTTAACTCGGCTGCCCTCTTTCCCAGTGACTCAGGAAAGCACCTGCACCCAGTCACCCCAAGTTCCCTTGTGAAGTCCCAGAGACTTCCCACCACAGAACCTCGCGAGATACGCCGGAGACACAGCGCATCGCTTGCGCGTGAAATGGTTTGCGCGTTTTATTAACGGACGAAACTCCACCCACTATTCCCCGGCCTCTGACTCCAGTCCTTTAACACACAAGTGGACCCCCGAAGTGCGTTTAAGTCACATTAACTGTCAGGATGCCATTGGGGACCTTCT